TGAGGTAACTTGTGAGGACAGAGGAGTGTGTGTGTGTGTGGGGGGAACCCTCGCGGTCTCCCTGGCTCCGCTCCTTCGCCATGCCGGAGCCTTTCCCGCAGGGGCCGGCCTGCCTGCCCACCTTCCTGCCAACGACGATTTCCACCCCCCCACAAACGAGGAGAAGCCTTTTCTTGGCCCCCCCAACGCGCCCCTTCTGGTCTCTCGGGCGACCCTCATGAGCGGCAGGGAATCCGTCCTTCTTCCTGAAGCCCCTTCGCATCTCGCCCCATCCCATCCTTTTACATATAGTTATTGAAAGTCCTCAGCAGGGACCTCTGTCCTAATCTCTTGCCCCCACCACTGCTCCGTCCCTCCTTCCCTTCTGCTAATTTACATCACCAAGCTCCCCCAGGTCAAACCCCCCCTCCCAATTATCCCTCTCAGTTGACAGCTGCTCGTTGGAACCAAATGACTCTTGACAGGAATCCTTCTTGTGGAACATGCTTTGTGAACTCCTCAGCCTTAGGGTTCAGGACAGAAAGCCTTCAGCAAATGGCTACCCTCTGTCCTTCTTCTACTGCCTTCCTCTTTCTACAGCCCCCCTTCCATCAAAGCCCACCACAGTTATTTCAAGAATGTCCATTAACTTCATCATGCACAGGCTTTCAAACTTGCAAAATCTACTTTATTCTTTCTTACATTCTGTATTGAAATTATCCAAACTGGGGTCACTGAAGGTGCAGGACACCTCACCCCAAAATAGAAACTAGCCTTAGTTGGCTCTCAGGATGTCTGTGCATCCAAGCAAATAATCAATCCACACAACTCATATTTGCCTTTGTCTCCTCATATGACACACCTCACCTCACTGAAGTATGATGTCTTTATCAGTCATTCGTTTCACTCAATGTTTGATCAAGAAGTTCTCAATTGCCTCTTTTATTCACCCATCCTCAGGGTTACCATGTGAGTCTTACTGATTAGTTTCCATAGATAATTTACAGTATTTCTGGAGAGCTGTCATTTCTTATACTGGGGCTTTTATCTCTAAACTTTTTGCCTACCACATCAGGAAATGCACTGTTCTTTAACTTTATGGACTCCATGGAGCCTTGACTTTTCTTATCTAATTCATCTTCTAGGTCAAGTCAGACATTCTAGCCAAATTGATACTAAAATTGCCTGACTGTATAGCCATCCATAATCTCATTTATGTTTAAATTTTTCCAGTGGCATTGTCTTTTTGTTGCTATATGTAATCCTTCAAATCGTGTACACTAAATAATAAGTAATCCTTACAAAATAATTTCCTCAGAGTAAAGCAATTCTTAAGAAATTCATCAGCGAACAGGTACCTCTTTCTTTTAGAGATATTCCCCCAACTAAACTATTGTCACAGTTTAGTTTTCAAAAGCCTACAGCATTCATTACACTAGTCCTAGTAACTAAACTCCAGAAATTAATATTTATCTATGTCCTTTTTCCCAATTCAGGGGTATCTTCCAGTGATACCTGTAGTTTTTCTGCTATCCCTTAACAAAGCTCATGTTTATTTTACAAACTAAATCTAGTTATCCCTCTGAGATCAATATGCAATTATCAGTGTAAACTTTGATAAATATTTCCATGCTGTCAGATAATTAATATCCCTTAATAGGAAAAAAAGTATTATTGCATCTTGAAGAGTAATAGATTACTTAAGTACTTATTTACTTATACACAGGTGGTGTACATATGCTTTGTAATCCCAACTACCTTGGTTGAAGTGGATCAGACTGAGTATTTATTCAATTTTATAAATGTATAGTTACTGGACATTAAAACATCACAATGATATGCAACATAAAAGTCACAATAGTAAGGTACAAAAAGAAATGCACATAAAAGTAAAATCACAAAGTCAATAAAACAAATGTATATAGCTGGATTGCACCTCTGGTAAAGCCTGAGTAAAAAGCATAATTCTCCCAAGACCATCCAGTGTACATCATGGCTCAGTACATAATTGAACCTGGTTCTGCTCAGTCCTAATCTAACCTGCTGGCTTCAACACCTACTGGCTTAATTTTGATACAAGTTTTCCTGACTTTGGTCCATGACTGCAGTTTGTAAGTGGTTATGCTATAATAAAGCAATGATGCTATAAACACTATATAACTCAGAGGTAATTCTCAGTGGGCATTGCACTTAATTTTTAAGATGCCACAGTACGCATTAGACTCTTACAGCAAAACATTGTTTTTCCAATGGAATCTGTTCCATTGGTAAGATTCCCCCTGAAAATATGTTATAACTGAAATTCTGTTAAAGCCATACATACATTGTTAAAAAACAGACTTTGAAAAAGAACTATAATTAAATCTAGAAAGCCATACACTGAGAAGCTGACTCACTGCCATTGCTCTGTTCACCCCAGGATTACCTTTGTTTGGAAAAAAACATCCTTTTTACGGAAAAGCTATTTGAGAACTTAAGAGTTTTGTAATGACCTATATAAATCAAGCCAACTGATCCCCGTCTTTGGTTTATTTTGGTGAGAACAGATTGACCCAGCTTGTATCCTTGTACTGCTTAGGACTATTGAGTGCCTAGAATAGGTAAAAGGATGAGCATCCTTCCACCAGTCTCTGTTAAAAGCCCTATGTTTCTAAGCGTAAATGAATAGACTGCATTTTTATGCTGGAAAGAACCTGTGACTTAAAGTAAAATATTTATAGGACGCTTTAAACTATATATTAAGTGAATAATGGATGACATATTTGCAAAAAATAGGGTCAGGTTTTTAAAGATTTCTGTTTGGAGCCAAGTTTACTACAAGGTATAATTAACTAAATGTATATTTTTCATATCATGTAAAATAATGTATTTATTCAGAAGAATGCATTGTATAGTAGTTTTAAACAAAAATTGAGCTTTATATTACTCCTTGTCATTTTTCTGTGTTTGCTTCATTCTGCTATTGACCATTTATCGGAAATAATTTGGAAATCACTAAAAAAATAACATCAAGCCAGTTTTGGGTTCTCCCTTTGGTCTGGGAAAAGTTGAGTTGTGAACATGCTTTTCTCTAGTTTGTTTTGGCCAAGTTCTCGACTGTTTTGAAAGTACAAGACCATCTTGAATTAAAAATAGAGTGGTCCTGACCCGACCAGATAGGCGGGATATAAATAAAATAAATAAATAAAAGTCAGATAGTAAAACAAGCTCATTAGTAGAAAGAACTCGGTCTTTTTTCCTAACATGGAAATTAGGTGAAATCCTGCAAGTATGTTTAAAAGATATGAACCAAGAATAAAAGTGTTTGGCCTACTGTGATACAAATATGTTTTAAATAATCTGTTAAAGAGGTAATGTAATATTATTCAACACCTTAGATCTTCAGTAATAAGTATCTCTTTCTCCTAGCATCTTAGCAAGGAAAGAAAAGTGTTTGTGAGGCAGCAAAATTGGTCAATGGCAGGGGGAAATTCAATGGGATGGAATAGTTTGACCATTTGCTGCAGGATATACTGAAGGCTCCAAGGGTAACAGATTGCTCATATGTGCTTGAAGACATTGAGCATGGTCAGAACTCTGTCATGGATTTATGCTGATGTACATGTATACATCGCCATGGTGAATTGCCACTATTTTGAAAGTTGCTGTTTACATTCCTAGTTGCATTCCAAGTTGCATGATTGGTACATGACTAGAAATGTGAGTGGCAACTCATTAATTAGTGGCAATTTGCTGCTGTGATTTATACAGTTACATATATTTATTTAAATTCACTATAGCATTCTGGCCATAGACTCTGTTTTCCACAACTGCATCTATATCTTGTTCTCTATTATACGTACAGGGTTTGGCAATGGTAAAATGTAATAGTGTAAGAAAAGTTCTTAACTTGAAAGTGAATAGCTTTTTGAAAGAATTGATTGAATCTAAACCAAGTAAATGTCATTGCATTCGCGAAGGCTTTCACGGCCGGGATCTAATGGTTGTTGTGGGTTTTCTGGGCTCTTTGGCCGTGTTAGGAAGAACAAACTTGAACATGGCCAAAGATCCCGAAAAACCCAAACAACCGAATGTCATTGCATTTGAAGAGCAGAAAAGGTAAGTGCAAGGTGAACACTGACATCTAGCCTATAAAATCACAGAATGATATACTGTATTCAGTTTCTTAGTTTCACAATGTCTCTTGGAACCGAATGCTGAATTTTTGTTTAGATATGCTCAAGAAACTGCTTACTGTAAAACATAGTTGGTTACTTATGGAGTAACATATGCATAGGTACTTTTACTGTGTTGCCATTTAGTTGTGTTTGTTTATCAGAGATACTCAGAATCTGCTCTTCAACTTCAAAGGGTTTTTTAGAATGGCTAACAATTTTTTAAAACAGCAAAATAATAATAAGCAACATTGAAACAGATTAAAATAGCAAAACAGAAAAAAGAAAGCTTGAAAGCAAAACGCACATACACATCCATAATATGGTGATAAAAACAAAATCAAAGCATTTGATCTAATAGAACTATCTTAACTGGGGTTAATCCAAGCAGGCTTCGTTAGTGAGATTATTCCAGAGACGCTGCACTATAGTGCAAAGGCCTATCTTGATTCACTCCCTACCTTACTTTGTAACTTGGACTGGAAGAAGGAATTTAGTATGCTTTTTAATATGATTTTAAAAAGACATGTCCAGAACTCAAAGAATGATAATGTACACATTATTCTTTAATGGTAATAGTTTTTAATTAAAAGTAGGAAGAACATGTGAAAAAAGAAAACTTCAGCAAGAATTGTGTGTAGACCTGTTTTTCTCCCGATATAATTTTACAGAAACAGATAGTGCACTATCACTGTCCACAAGGAACTTCATGTGAGTGAGTTTTATTTAATTTAACCTGAAGAGCCTTTGATTTGAGTGGAATTTAGATTAACTGCACCATTATATTAATCACTGAACATAAAGAGCGATTCTCCTTTATTAAATATTCATTGGCAAACCAGATTTTATTACGATGAAGATGCTGTTTTGAACCATGAGTGTTTGCAAGGGGTGGAAATAGTGATAGATGACAGTTGTTGGGATAAAGAGTGAAGCACTTCTACTTACAAATCGCTAGTCAGGGAAGACTGTTCTCCAGCTATCTCAAGGCATCATGTGTGAGCAAGGGAAAACACCTATTCCCCAACTCTGGAATATCTGCTCCATTAAAGGTAGAAAAGAATTTCGTTGGCTTTGGCACTGTCATAAAGTACTTGTTCATGCATCTCTTGAGACTTATTGCAATAAGATATGTATTTTAGCTCAAGAATTGAGATTTACAGAATGTTTCCAAGAAATAAAATGCACACAAAACAATACACATATCTTAAACTGCAAATGGCTAAATTGTGCCTAATTGAAATACAGTAGACACAAATGCTCTAAGAAATGGAAGTTGCATAAGTCAAGTAAAATGCACAAATAAATCCGAAAGTTAGAAAAATGTATTAAAATGTGCAACACATTTCATGAGGAAAGAAGACACAAAGTCTTGCAATCTAATATAAAAAAAGATAGGAAGTAAATGCAAGTGGGATTCTGAGAAACTCAGTGAAATCAAGCATGAGAGGTTTCCACTTCTATACTCTCCCTGAAAGTGTGACTGGCAACATTACTGGAACTATCCCTCTGCCAAATCAAAACCATTTTTTGCTTGCCAAGACACTATGGACTGATTTTATTTAGTTTATTATAATGATGACCTTTAAATGATAACATGGCTTCACAGGTTTTTATTTTGATTATATTGTATTCTACCCTGATATCCATAACAATTAAAGTAAGATTTTTCTTTTAAAAAAAGGTTTTAATAATTAAATAATGACAAGATTTCCAGACTTAATTGAGACAAAACACATCTCTAACCTTTGTAAACCTGAGATATGAGGCAACAAGTGAAGCTTCTGTGCTTACCATTTGTTTTTTTCTAAACAATTGCATCCCTACACTTCAGGATCTTCTTAGCTCATTAACGAGGTCATAGTAGTAACTGACCCAGCCACCGTCTGGAATAAGCAATCAGGCAAAGCAAGTCACAAGAAACCAATCTGTGGAGCTTTAGCTTATGTTGAAGGGATAACCCTTCACAGAACTCTCAGTCCAGGTGATATAAAATCTTTTTCTGTTCTACAAGTGGGTGCTTCTCCCAAAACAAGTAAATTAGGTATCCAAGAGTTTTGATTTTCCTGATCCATAACTTAAAATCATATCCAACGCAGGTGATGCAAAAGCTTTTTAATAAGGGGGCTATCAGCTTTATACTGGCTAGATAATTTTTTGAGTTACAAAGAGATTATATTTTCAAAATGGAGATTCAATTTTTATTACTTGTAATAGCCTTTATTCTTCCCAGCAAAACTAGGTACTATTCAGAGTTGAAATTTAACACCTAATATACCTTGCAATATGTTTCCAACTTCTTCTTCTTAAGACAGCATGCAAATTACATTGAATTGATCCCTCCCCCTTTTCTTTATAACATCATACCTCACTTCAGGGAACATGGAAGGAGCCTTCCTCTTGAGTTAAGATACAATGAGAGTATCTCTACAGTGATCCTTTCACTCTGGAAGCACCACACTGAATTGCTTCCAACACTGCGAAAAAATAAAAACTGATTTTTTTGTCTTGAAAACTTGCGCAGAGCATTTTTGTGCTTTTTAAGTTGCCTGAATAAAGATATCATCACAACAATGGATTTTGTAATTTTTGTGATGAATACAGTTGAAGGGAGCCAAGCACAAAATCCTAAATCTTGAACAAGCATTTTTCCCCTAAGAACCCCCCTGCAGACTGTAATCCTGCCCTTCACAAGTTTATCACCAGTATGTCCAAGATGAAGAAAAATCTACAAACCAGGGACCTACTTTCACTTTATTGGTGCTCATGATGTCCATTGTATGAAGACTGAATATCACACTTGTCCTTATTTGTGCTTTCATATTACCAGGATTTAGTACCACTCTGTTTAGGCTTTTGAATATCATGGAATTTGACTGTAAACAACACAGCACAAATTCTAAGAAAATACACAGGTATATTGTATTGTAACAGCACTAACTCATGTGTACAAATTACAGTTGCATACCACTGTGCACCTCCCTTCTTGAAAAATACCTGTATTTTAAAGAAGTGTGGTCAGCAGATGATTCCTCCAAGCCATTTTTACATCCCCATTAAAAAGAAGAACAAACCTGTAGACATTTTTAAAATTGCTCCAAATGGGAGAATCACATCTCTAAGGAGAGTGATACAACTTCCTTTAGAGTCTAATGGACATTGTATCACCCTTCTTATTTTAACATCAAAATGAAAAATGAAAGTTTTTTTAAACATGGGAGTAACTTACCAATGATTTTTTGTTGTTGTTTCCTTTGAGGATCTAGTGCTTCTTTTGAAGGCTTCTGAGGTGGGAGTAATAGGCTTTGAATCCTCAGAGCTCACCATTTTAAAAAATAGGTGCCTTAATAGCATGCTGTACTTGGAAGTAATTTATTTTACTTGGAAGTAAGCTCCATTGTGTATATGTGTAGGATTACAACAATTTGTACCATATAACAAGAAAAGTATCTGGGTTAGTTTAATCTAACATAAGATTTTTAATGATACTTACTGTCTTGCTGTTCATTATCTGCAGCAAGAAAGGAATAAGTAAATATAGTGCTTAGCTGAAAGGTTTTATACAATTTCAATTTAATATGTGCTAAAACAAATGTTAGTTACATTCTTTTGATTTTCCTGTGGTTGATGAGTCCTTGGCAAGTCCTTGTTTTAAAGGGATAATTGTGTAGAAATATTTACAGCCTCAGCTAAAAGAGCAGCAGAATCTCCATTATCTCTAAAAAAAGTATAATTTATTAAAAGCAGCTCTGCCTTTAAATGGGAGAACTCAGCAGAGTTTCATCTAGGAAGCTTCTCTTAATATAATCCACTGGATTGCTAAAGACGGCCGGAAAACCACCACCTCATCCCCCCTTGAAGCCACCTCTGGTAGCCTATGCATGAGATTTGGATATTTCCTGTTCCTGGAAACTATTAGAAAAAAAATGCTAGCATTTTGTGAAACAGATTTCACACTCTTTAAAAATAATTAATTTAAGGAATCCAAACCTTCAAAATAAGATGGTGAAAAACATTCATTATATAAATTTACTCATTTTTGAACTGCAGCTTCTTGTTGTGTCTATCTGCTGTGACTAATAGGTGCTAATGATGCAGTGACACCACATGTTGCTAGTTTAACTGATCACGAATCCTTAAAATTTCAATAGCACTTTGGCTCTGAGCATGATGGATAGACAGTTGTGATTATAGAACCTCTGGAGAGTAAAATCCTTTTATTAGGAAATCTATGGGATTTGCTTCTCTTCTCACACAATACACATTTCTAAGTTCTTTCCCTTACTCACCTGCCAATTTATTTAATAAAACATTGGTTGGACAACACCAAAACTACACTTCCCTCCAAAACCAGATTGAATCTGTTGCGAGTCCTGTTGTAGCATATGGCATCAACTTCTACAGTAGTTCAAAATGGATCCCAATCTATTTTAACACCAATTTTTACAGCTATATCACAGTTCTGAATTGTCCAGGGCTGCTCCTTTTCTTTCTACCAGTTGTTTGCCTGACCCTCTGCCACTTCTCCTGGTTGCCATTTCTCACACTTTTCCCATGGCCACCATTGTGTCTTCGATTTTTCTTGCTTTGTGGATTCATTTGAACAGGCATATGTTTAATTCTTTTTTTTAAAAAAAACCTGTCATTAAAATTGCACGTTGAAAGATGCACATAAAAACCGTGGGGAAAAAATCAAAAGGGGTGACTGGGAATAGGACGTTATGTCATATGGCATTGTACCCAACCCCCAACATGTCCACCGCAGCAGTAAGCACACCCACCCACACTGGATTAAAGCAAAGGAAAAAGTGTGGCAACTTGGATATCTATTACAAGTGGAGTTGCACCTGCAGCAAATACACTTTCCTTGGTTTATTGCAAAGGTGTAGTTCCAGCCCATAAGAGCCGTTTCCATTAGGTTTGGACTGCTGAAAATAATGTTAA